GCCTAATCGAAAATAACCAATTAATTAAGAAGCCGATTCTATGATAAATCGATTATTATCAATTATCTATTTTATTGTATTTCCTTTAAAATCGATAATTCGATTATCTTTGAAATACTGAAAATAATCGATAATTCCAAAATAATCGCCTAATCGAAAATAACCAATTAATTAAGAAGCCGATTCTATAATAAATCGATTTTCCAAAAAATAAAACGAATTATCGATTATTTTCTAATAATCCTTTTTTTAATATTTCCTTTAAAATTGATTATTCGATTATCAAAAATAATCAATTATTAAAAAGCTGATTAACCAATAAATCGATAATTTTAAAAAATAACCAAAATATCGGTTATATAAAATAACCGATTATATTCAATCGAATAATGAAAAAACCGATTGAACGAAAATCGATTATTTTGAATAAATCTACTTTTTTTGTATTTCCTTTAAAATCGATTATACATTATCTTAAAAAACAAAAATAATTTATTAAAAACAGCGGATAAATCGATTTTCATAAAAAAAATATCAGAATTATCGATAAATCGATTATTTTTGTAACCCCTATCGAACGTTTGCTTTTATCCGAGCGTTTAGCTCAAAAATTTAGAGATTCGGATTTTTTGATCCTGTTATCTTTGAAACCGCATTCGATTGTATAATAAATAATAAATATTGCTAAATTTTGGATTTTTTTAGTAAACGAAAATTTTGTTCGAGTTGTTTAGGGGTTTGTAATGTAACATTTTATTAATGTGACCAACTCCCGTAACTTTAATATTTGTTTTGCTTATACTAGATCATATGGTGCGTTTTACTTTGTTTTAAGACTGAAAATTCAAATGTCACTTTCGATTTGACCTCAAATAGGATGAACCTTGTAATTTTAAGTAGGTCATCCTGTATTTCATCTAATATTCTTATAAAAATACCTTATAAAAATAAAATTTAGCTAGCAACTATGATTCTTTACTTCTTATTTATCTACCAAAAAGGGCTTAAAATCACCTTTAGAAAACATTCTTATAAAACTACTTTTTAAATACAAAATTTCGTTAGCAACAATGCCTATTTACTTTTTATTTAAATTAAATGTTCAAAATTTTATCTTTTTGCAAATTTATGTAAGTAATATGAAATCTGATTTCGGATGCTTAATATTTATTGAAACCCCTTAATGCGGATCTGAAGTATTCAGCCCAGAGAAACATGGCGCTTCATGTCAAAACGTTAATAAATATTTACCGCTGAAAACGAATATGTTCATAACATTAGTACTTGTATTCTAAGTACATACATATTTTCAAGATACATCGTGGCATTTTGAACTTGAAATTGATTAACTAAAGCACTTTAAATTGCTAAAATACCAAAAAATAAATCAAAAAACAGCTGTCAATGGTGATTAAACTCAGGTGGAGGTGATCCATGAATGGAAAAATCGGAGCAATTCGGGTGGCGTCGTGCAAACAATAATTTTCAATTGGTGGGTTACTTTGGGTTAAAACAGACAACATGCGCAGTGTGCAATGTTACATCTTCGGTCTCTTTAATCTAAGCAAATTACGTAGGTATTTAGGAATGTACCTAATAATTATTATTTTTACCTAAACGAAAGTAAAGAATCATTAAAGCATTTTTACTGATGGGTGAGTCCAACACTGATAAAAATTGATAACGCCAAACACGCCTCGGGCAGTGCTTTGCACTAGTTGATTGAAAATGAATAACACCGAGCGATGTGGTCAAAATGCAATCTTGGAGAGAAGGGAGTCAAAATATTCAGTTTTATAGGTATTTCTGGGAATAACAACCTTTCCGTATTTATATGATTACATCCTTATTTCAAATCCAATTTTAATTATTATTTTTTTATTCTCTTGAGAAAAGATGAAATTACATTTACATCATTGTATTTGAAAAACAATGTATTTTTAATATAATAATTTGTCTGGTAAAGTTAGGTTCTTTTTAACAATTTTAATGAACTTATAGATATTTTTCTGGTTGAACCGTTTATATTTTAATCAAAAGCGTTTGTAGGATGATAGTCCAAGCCTTTATCTTTTTGCAAAAAAAAAAACAAATACTCGAAATTCACACATTTTGATTGCATTTGTGAGCAGTTCAATAACTTTTAATTATTAACTTTTTAAACTGTAGCACGTTTACCAGGGAATAAAAAATAAAGGTGCTAGATGGATAAAATATCTAAAAACAGCTTATTAAAAACCCAGTTCATTAAATAGCCTTTTTACTAAAGAACTAGAAGTATTAAAAATAATATCTTTAATTTGTTAACAACAGATATATTAGACATCTGTCACTTTTAAAATATTTAAATACCATATGAATGTTACCAACAATATATTGCAAGGGTTGAGAACAATATATCGACAGACCCTAAATCATTTTGGCGCTTTGCTAAAGATAAATCAAGGGGTGAATTTCCGAATGAAATGTATCTAAATAATAAAATTAGTAATAATGGTTGTAATACTGTAAATTTATTTGCTAATAATTTATCTACAGTTTATGTCAAGACTGATTGTAATGTACCTGTATTAAACTATGAGAAAACCATTAATGTAAATAATGTAAAAGTGACCTTTTGTGAAGTTTTTTTCTAAAATTTCTCAATTAAAAGACAGTTTCTCTTGTGGTCCAGATGGAGTTCCATCTTACTTTTTAAAGAGGTGTGTCTGTACTGTTAGTACTCCTATTTCTATTATTTACAATATTTACTTGATTCAGGAGTATTTCCGGATTTTTGGAAATACAGTTTTATAAGACCAATTTATAAATCGGGATGTAATCCTGACATTAAAAACTACAGAGGAATATGTTTGCAATCTAACATTCCAAACATTTTCGATTCACTCATTACAGAATATTTGTCATGGGAATGTAAAGGGCTAATAATTGATTAACAACATGGTTTTTCACAAGGAAAATCTACAGTAACTTCCTTGTTATCAAAATGAAATATTGAGTGCATTTGAAGGGGGTATCAAGTACATTCTCTCTATACTGACTTTTCAAAAGCATTCGATAGAGTTAACCATGAATTGTTGATCGCCAAGTTGAGCTCATATGGTATCAATGGTAAACTTTTAAATTGGCTATCTAGATTTTTAATTGATAGGTATCAGTGGGTCAAAATTGGGAAACACATTTCTTATTTGATTGAAGTATTGTCTGGTGTTCCTCAAGGATCCCATTGTGGTCCGCTTCTTTTTAATCTATTTGTAAATGACATTGCATATTGTATAAAAAAGTCTCAGTTCCTACCATTTGCAGATGATTTAAAAATCTTTAAAATTGTTGAAAGTATATCTGATTGTTTTGATTTACAGACTGATATTAATGTATTAATAACCTAGCATTGTGGTGTAATGTAAATTGTATGAATTTGAATTTAAGTAAATGTTTTTATATTAAGTTTAATAGGTGCCATACTATTATAGACTATACTTATTGTATCAATTCATTAGATCTTGAATTGGTGACCCAAATAAAGGATCTTGGCATAATGTTTGATGAATAACTTACTTTTTCAGAACACATTACAATAATATCATTAAAAGCCAGAAAGTTATTGGGTTATATACAAAGAATCTCTAATGGTCTCTCAATAAATTCTTTTAAAATTATTTACTGCACTCTTGTTCGTTCTAATATGGAATATGCAGCTGTTGTCTGGAACCCTTAATATTGCATTCACATTAATAGACTTGAAACGGTTCAACATAAGTTTCTGAGATGCTCAGCATATAAATTAGGAGTGCATATAAATAATTACGATTATGATTATGCTAACCTATGTTCCAGATTAGAGATCACAACTTTACAGAACCGGAGAACTCAATTAGATCTATGCTTCCTATTCAAACTTTTGCCAGGGTCAATATACAGTGCTTTTCAGATAAAAGTATCCACCTTAAGTAACTTTTCAATCTAGGTTATACCATTGTATGGAAGTAAATGGTGGACATTTTGAACAATTTTTATAATAAATTTTGAAAATGAAATATTCGTTTTGTCATTGGAAACGCTTGTGACAAAATCATTAAAATAAAAGTTTTGCACAATTCAATTTTATTTTAATTTAAAATTCTGTAGATCGTAAACTAATTACTTTAATCCCCATGTTTTATACATTTTTGAAATCAGTTAAACGAGAGCAATCCAAAAATGGATAAAAAAATGGGGCAAACCATTTAAAAAAATTGAAGGGATGGTAGTAGGGGTGAAAGGGTGACTTTTTTAGCAAACTTAAATATCGCACGATATCTCCCCCTTCGAATATTAATTGACGTATTTTTTTTGTTTTTTGTAATAATCACTTCAAAAGTTACTTAAGGTGGATACTTTTATCTGACAAGCACTGTAGTCTCCTGATATTTTATTAAAAATTGGTCTTAAAATTAATAGTGCAACCAGAGCTAATGAAACTTTTTTTATTAGACACCATAGACAAAATTACGGCTTTTATAGTCCATCAACACAATTGGTTAGGAGTGCTAACAGTACAGAAATAAACTTGGATTTTTTTGGTTCATCATATCCTTCATTTAAAAGAAGTATTATTGCTAACCACTTTCTTAATGACACTTGAAAGTACTATTATTGTCTGCCTTGTTAATCATATGTTTTAATCATGTTTTAATCAAATGTTTTAATGAAATTTTTTACATTTTACAAAGTTTTGATGTTTTTTATTTTGTATTTGTGCATATAACATATATTTTTTATTGTAAAATGGGGTTTTCCCGTAAATAAATAATACCAATACATTTAACACACTTCGTCAAAACTCAGATGTTTGGGATACTTTGAAATAAGCCAGTTCCTGTAGGTACGTTTACTTATTTTTTGACCAAGACAGGCCCCAAACCAATAACCTCAATTACTTAACGAACATAGTATAAAACTAAAATTTATTGTTTAGCAAGAAGAATGAAATGTGTGACAAGAAAAAGTGAAAAGCTTACCATCAATTGCATTTCGATGCTCCCTATCCTCTTTGGGACAATAAACTAATTGAAGAATAAGCGGTCTTCGAGTCACTATTCCTGTGCCTCTAGGTAAAAACGATTTTCCTACTAAGCTCTCTATAACAGAGCTTTTTCCGGAACTCTATAATCAATTAGGTTATGTCATAGTCATACCCAAAAATAAGCACTTATTTCTCACTTACCTGAGATCCTAAAACTACTATTTGTGGTAAATGGATAGCGTCTGAACCTACGGTATTGAAAACGTCTTGCAATTTATTTATTACTGGAATAAGGGCCTCCATTATTTTGATTTTCTCAACGATCGATTTTCAAAAAAATTGTGTTTCTTCCAAGACCTACTCTTTAAAATATTTTGTAACTTACAAATTCATTATGCGTAATATCACTGAGTTATAATATATTTTCTTAGTTTTTCCAAAGAAAAGAATGAAACTAATTTCTTTACAATCTTTTTGTTGGAAAGACTTGAGCTTCAGGTTGGTATTTCAAACCTGACATATGACATATGTCAATGATATAACAGTTTTGTTCGTTTGTTTTGTATAATGGCGGTAACGTTTTGAATTTATTATGGAGAAAACATAATTATTACGTTGAGTACGTACATAATACCATTCTTTTTCATTTAGAAAAGCCTTTCGACTATTTTAATTTTCAAAGTGACACTCTAAGTTGAATTCGTTGTGTATGATGTATTAATGGTTATCTACCTACTAGGTATTATAGTTACAGCGGCAATTTAATTACATACGGTTCTCCACCATTTAATTTATTTTTAATCAAAGTCATTATAAGAGGTCAAGTTAAAACGATAAATGACTGACTGTGTCTGAGACTGCTGTTTACTAGCTACGCTACGATATTTTTAAAACGACAGCCTAGTCTAATTTTAAAACGTTATTGTAGGTACTTTTAATACTATGGCACATATTTGTATTAAAATAATTTCTGTTTTCAATTTTCAAAATAATTTAAGAAAATGTTGTACAGATGTAAGTAACAAGTACATAAATCCCTTAGAGGTTTTGAAAAAGAAAAGAGATGAATCACTTTTGGGTGGAGGGAATACAAAAATTGAAGAACAGCATAAAAAAGTAAGCAGAAAGTTTAGTTTTTTTTTATATATTGACTGTAACGCGCGTTTATTGCGCAGCTTTTTTAAGTCGCTTTTCAGACCACAAATGAGAAAACAAAAGCCTTTTGTTGTTAAATATTTTGCTACATAAAAAATATTTATCTATACTTAATTTACCTTTTTTTATTTAAATTATTTAGTTGATTTTACTGGTATAAATACGATTTTTTTTTATTTCAGGGAAAACTTACAGCACGAGAAAGAGTTCATATTCTTTGTGACGAAAACAGCTTTGTCGAATATGGCCAGTTTATGGAACACACTTGTACAAATTTTGGAATGGAAAAACGAAAAGTAATACATAATAATCAGTAATTAACTTAGGTACCCGTAAAATTTGAATAACTAAATATAGACTACTTAGATACATATTTTTAGAAATGTACCGGGTGTTCCATTAAAAGAGGTAGCCAGCTATATTTCAGAAACTAAATATAATAGTACAGCCTTGAGGAAAACATATTTTTAACAAAGAAGTAGAGAGAGGGTAGAACATTAAAGGTATCGTCTGCGCATCCATCACGAGTGTAGAAATTATGCATAATTCAACATTCCACTCTTACACACGTAAATGACAAGGAGAGGTTGCCCTAAAGCACTGTAAACAAATTCCAGGATTGGCTTTGTTCAGCGATTATGTTCATGTTCAGCTCAGTTTTTTGTTTGTGTTGTGGCTGTTTTAAGCTTTTTAGGCGTAAATTCTTTGTTTTCTTGCTTATATTTGTGATTATTTGTGCTTTGATATAAATTTAGTATTAAATTATACTTGCTAATTATTTTCCGATGCACTATTTTATTATTGTTGCACAAAATGTTGTGAAACCGTCCCTGAATCTTGTTTACAAAATGTGCAAAACGAAATTGTGCATTGTGTCTATACTTTTTCATTGACAGTTATCATTCTACCCCTCTCCACTTCATTGATTTTTAATAAAAATTTCTGGAAATTATTGTCAAGTTCGTAGGATTGCCGCTAGGGAGCGTAAAGCGTAATTGTGACGTCAAAACATAAAAATGTAATTTTCTCAAAAAAATACCAAGTAAAGTATATTGATAAATATTACTATTTTAATCTTCAATGTTTTCTGAACAAAAAATAGAGTGATGGGGAAGGTTAAACTTTAATTTGGAAAAATGCTCATAACTCCGGTTTGGCCTTACCGAATTTAGTGAACTTGGTTTCGTTTAGAAGAGCCTTTTCAGCCTCATTTTTAGATTTATAAACTGTCGCTGCTTACGTTTTATGAACGCCGCTAGATGTATACCTTTTTACATAGTTAGATAGAGAAAAAAAAAGCCCAATACTTTGGCGAAAACAGCATTTGGATATCTTGTTTTCAAACCGCAGATTTTAGCAAAAATATAAATAAAACGAAGAGACGTAAAACACATTTAATAATTTTGTAGTAGGTCGATTTTTTAAGGTATAAATTAAATTTATAAATTTCTGCAAAACGTAATGCCCAACCATGATTTTTACATATTTTTAATAATGGAACTTTCCCATTACTGAAGATCTCTATTACTCATGTGCAAATTCTATATCTGCTTAAAATTATCAAAATTTGTTCTTGTTGTGTTTCAATTACACATTTTGTTTTTTGCGTTAGATAGTATTAGTAGGGTAGGAGAGCGGCAATAATTTTAGATGTTATTAGCGAAAAGTAAAATTACAAATCGTCGTTGCGCGGTGAAACCTCCTGTGTACATTTTATAAAAATTTTTAGTAGACATAAAAAACGTAATAATTTTGTTCTGATGGCTTATTTGCTCCGTGCGCGCCAGCACTGCCAATTTATTTAGGTACTAATGGACTGTCTGCGTATACTGACAATACAATTTTTAATATAATTCGTAATTAAAAAGTATATATGTTAGTTTTAATAAAAGTATATGGATTTGTAAAACAAGTAAAACATGGATTGTTTTTTTTTATTTGGTGTCATCGAAATCAACTTCTAAGGTTATTAGCATCAGAATTAATTTTAAATAATTAAATTAAATACCAAAATCCTGGCCAACAGTGGGATTCGAACATGGGACCCTTGGATCCGTAGGCAGAGTCTCTACCACTGAGCCACCCTCCCCCAAAAGGATTATAATTTATATTTTCATTTTTGTTCGAAAGAAAACAGAATGAATCATTAAAACTGGTTTCCTATTAGTAAGTCACAAAATTGAATTCCAGCCACATACAATAATCAAAGGTAGAAATCTTGAAATCTAGTCTTTGGTGAACATTTAAGAATAAAGGGATGTTGAAGAACATCGTAAAATGATAAGTTATGTTTATTTAAAACCTTTCAAGTTTCTGATGTCTACTATTTCCAGTATTACTGTTATTACAAAAATAAAGGTAATTTTTCTTCTTATTGTACACCTATCCATTCTATTTCTTTGATTAAATTTCCACTCTGCTACTGAATTTTGTATAATTTTCACTGTCTTTTTTTTGCTAGTATTTTTACTATTTTCAACACAGCAACTCCGGTTGCTTATTGTATTGTTCGTTTAAAAAAAAAAAAAAAAGTAAAATGTATACGTGTATTTGATATGCCAAAATTTCTAAATATTGCCCTAAAATGCACGAATTATCCGCAGCTAGCGCTAGTATCGCTTCTGCTTCCCCTACAATGACTTCGCACTAAGCGAATACGTGTTGCGCACAAGGGAGGTTTCATTTTTGATCTAAAATCACAATATTTTAAAAGAAAATTACATGGTAGGTCTCGCTAAACTGTAGAGAATGTTATTTTCTATGAAATGGCACAACAATCGGAAAAATGTGATAAAATGTAACATAGAGGAGGAGGTTTTACCGCGGCAACGATGAAATATTTGATTAATTATTACCTTGTAGAACATGGAAATACCTTGCTGTGCAGCGATTGAGCCCTCGACAATGACGTTTTTATTTACAAAGCCTGGGTAGAAAATGCTGCCATAGAAGCTCAAACTTGAACCTTTCAGATATTATTTACATCAAAAGTTTAAAAAAATATGCTTCCTCCTTCTTCAAATTTGTCTCACAGTACCCTTCATCTAGCATGCAAATAGGGAATTTCATGACTAGATCGATTGCAGTAAAGTATTCCCATCTTCTACAGAGTACGAATTAATGATACATTTATAATTTAGTCTTGTGCAAATAAGTACCTAAAAAGTTTCACTAGAGTCACTAGGTCCCTCTGCTAGTATATAGAATCGATGACATTCGTTTAAAGTATGGTTTAAGTATAACGATGACATGGGGTAATCGCAGAAACTTCCAAGCAATTACTACTAGAGGAAGCGTGACCAACAACGGGCTCAGGTTTGTTAGATTTGTACGGTGTCGTATATCTACCGCGCGATGGAAAGCAACGGACCTACCACGGGCGGGCCAAATAGGATCAAAGTAGGCCCGTTTGCTTTCCATCGCGCGATAGACATACGACGCCGTACAAATCTGACGAACCTGGGCCCGTTGTTGGCCCTGGCCCGACCCGGCCCAATAACGGAACCAGGTGCAACAGCTTAAAATTCTTATGCTACAAAATATTTATACAGGGTTGGGCATAATTGGCGGAACACCCGATTTGTGGCTCAATTATGGATTGTATTGAAAATTAACCCAAATAAAGTTTTTTGTATATTTTATGTACTATTTAATGACGCTTGGGGATTTTCATTATCTGTCATATTTATCAAGATATGACGTCATCGGATGAAATTTTAAATGAATCACCCTATATTTATATTTTTTTTCAGATAGATCTTTTCTTTCTGAATCCATCAATATGGGGTTCGGGTGGTCTCTGATTTTCCTTATCATCAGAAAATAATAAAACAAAATGGTAAACGTTCTTTTAAATAATTAATGAATAACTATTCACAAAGTTGTCTGTGCCATCATAATGTACCAATATCAATTGTTTTGCCATGTTTTCACTTTTTGACATTAAAATGTAATATTGACATCTCGATATTAATCACTGAGTTTTATTAATACGATTATTGTATATCTCTGACAGAAATACCTACCAATGTTTTTGTGTTACTGTTTACTTGGTTTTTATAATATTATAAAAACTATTGTCACCTTTTATTAATCTGTAGATTTTAATTCATTCTGGTTTATGGAGACAATCAAACAAGTTGAGTTTAATTGCAAGTCAATTCATTTCACCCAAACTAGCCCAATACGCGAAAATAAATAACTCTTAGCATTTGATACTATTGAGAATTTTTATTAATTTAAACCATGGTTGAACTGAGTGAACGTGAAAGAATTACACTATTGATGATTATTGGGTTTGGAGACAGAAAGAGATCTCTGCAAGAAGCTTGTAATTTGTTCAATGAAACATTTCCTGACAGGATTTCC